CCGTGAGATCATGACCTGAGCTGACGTCGACCCTTAACTGACTGAACCACCCAGGTGCCCCAAGAAATTTCCATTTGATAAATGAGCAACGTTTCACAGTATGAGTGGTATGGGATGCCAGATGTCACATGGTCACAACTGAGCCAATGGTTCTTCTCTGTCTGTGTCTGTCTCTGAGGGATTGTGGGTGATCATTTCCCATGCGCGGATGCTCAGTCTCTGGCCATGATGTGTGGCAGACGTTGGTGATTTTTCACAACGTTGGAAGGTGCCCCCAACTGGCAGTGGTGGATTTTTTGTCACTTCAGAGCACCTATGGACAGTCCTTTGCTTTTCCACACAACAGTGAGCTTAGGAATGCTTTGCTCCTTTCTAGGTCATTAGATAGGTTCCTTGTTAAAGTCACAGGAACAGAAAAAGATTCTATTGAGCCGATAGACAGCAGTGATTCCGTTAGTGATGGCGAATGTCGTCCGACACAATAACCCCTCCCACCCCCGTCTCTTGTCTCCCTCACACCGGCCACGAAGGTTTTCAAAGGTAAGTGCAGGTTAATTTGCTTATTTCTTTATATTTTGTATTTTATTTAATATTTTGTATTATGTTACAGGATTATAATCACTTTATATGAATGTTTTCTGGGTTGTGGAGTCATCTGAGCCTCCATTATTTCTTATGGGGAAATTCTCTTGGATGTATGAGAGCTTTGGATTACAAGCACGTTTCTGGAATGAATTCTGCTCACAAGCCAAGGTTTTACTCTATCGGACTTAGACATCGAACATCACTTAAATGCCTCTGGGGGTCCCCTTCGCTGGTCCCTTCATTAAGGAGCATCCAGCCAAGTTGAGAAGATACCGGCATCCCTCAGGCTGATCTAAGCCAAAATCTTAATGCCTCGTCATTTAATTTTCTTGAAATATTTCCATATTTTAAAGCAAGAAACGCTTAGTAGATACTTAGAGTCTTGAGTACATTAATCTGTCAGACACAGATGAGTGAGATGCGTCTTAGGTAGCTGAGTGAAGATGTGTGGTCACGTTTTAAGGTCTTGACCACATTTTGAACATTTATTACATTTCCAGAAAATGTTTTACATCTGTCTTAAGCTTCTTTCTCCCTTTGGAAAGAGGGAATTCAGACTCTGCATCTTAGAAGGATTTTGTGTATGGGAGTGCGAGTATCGGATGCCCAAGTATTTGAATCCCTTCAAATACTACACATGTGCAAATGCTAAATCCCGTTAAAAATTGCCAAACAATATTAACACTTGCTTTTCAGGGGAATGGGAAATGGGTTGATCCCGTGTCTACCCTAATTTGTGAAGGGCTTCTGGTTTGAGAGTGATCACAACCGGGATTTGCCAAGGATTTGGCGGTTATTTGGCATAATTTTTATGATTGAAGACGGTGTGGGTGATTTCTTCCATGTTCTCCCAAGAAAAACAGATCTCCCTTAATTAAAGGGCTAGAACTCTCATACAGTGCATTAAAGGAAAAGATCTCCTCCTTGGCTTTTTTAATGAAAGCTCAGACCTGGAATGGAAGCCATCTGTGTGGAAGGGAGGCGCGCCGTGCCTTCAGAACTCATATCCTTGGATTTGTTTGTGGAGCTTGGGCGAGGTGCTTCCCATGACCCCGGCAGGGGTGCAGACTTAAAAAAGACTCCTCTGGATAACGAACACTGGAATTTAATATTTCAGTCACTGGAATAGGAATCTGTATGCCTTCACCATTCATCTTCCAAACCCATTAAATCCAGCTTCACTGATATTTTGTCTGTAGAGAATCATTACGAACATGACCTTCACTAGACTTATGAGTGTGAGGGGCAGGGGCATTTGCCATATGACAAATCAAAGGCATTTTAAAGAAGAAAAAGGGAGGATAAGAAGTCCTCTGTCGTTAGCCAGATAAGAAAAAATATTGAATGGGAACGTCCCTCAACTGGGTGCCAAGTCCGTTATTTCTTTCCTGATGGATGGCTACCCCATCTCTCATTCAGATCTCTTAAGGTATGAAGAAAAATGGTGTTACATTAGATGAGGGCTTCTTTAATTGGGGGGGGGTGAGGATCTAATTAAAGTCCCAGGTAGATCTCAGTTAAGCTTTTTTTTTTTTCCCCCAGTGTTTCTGGTCGACCCACCTATTGAGTGGCAGGCAGCTGCTTGTAGAATTCTCTTCTGTTTGCCCGTTGTCCCTCACACCCCTTTGCAGACTCTAGTGGAGAGCATGATGCAAACAAGATCCCTGGTGGTGGAGAAATCACCCATACGCCATTCTCCTGGTTCTCCCTACAGCGTGGGACTGTTACCTTGAAGTTAAACTATATCGCTTAACTAAGAGTTTAACGTCTTCAACTGGAGAACTTGGTTGACAATTGTGAGACGGTGCAATTTGCAAACCGATAAGCAGTTTTCTCCCAGGTTCTCAGAGTTTGAGGGTGGGGGCCCTTGGCTGTCGTTGTTCGGTAAACGGGTCTGAGGAACACTGTCAAAGTGAGTAGCTGATGGTGTGGTCCTATTTACATAAGCAACTGTTCTTGCAAGACTAAAATGAGTGTTTTCCCAAGGATCTTGGGAGACGCGGATGAGCTTCAGAACTGGGCGGCCCTGGAGCCTTCCAGGGCCGGGCAGGAGTTGCCGGTTGTCTGATGAGAGAGCCAGGACACAGGTGATGTCACCGCAGTGATGACGGGAGGGAAAATACAGGCGCCAGGAGATGCGGAGAGGGTGCATCTGGGAGGTGGCAGATTCAGCCTAGGTTCCTGGAGTAGTTTGTTCAAGCCGAATCTTCATAGGAGACTCGGGCGTGATGCCCGATGGAGGAGTCACAGGCTGCCCTGGGAAAGATTCCTAACATCGTTCACCATCATGGAGTTCTCCGCTGCCCCATCCGTAAACCCTAAAAAGACCTCTAAAATTGTCCCGGTACTTCCACCAAGAGTCTTGATTCAAAATATTTCTTATCTCACCGCACCAGGTTATTTTATTTTAAGTGCTTATTTATTTATTTTGAGACAGAGCGAGTGCACGTGTGGGGGAGGAGCAGAGAGATAAGGAGAAAGAATCCCAAGCAGGCTCCGCACTGTCAGCACAGAGCCAGGCGGAGGGCTCGTTCTCATACACCGTGAGATCGTGACCTGAGCCGAAATCAGGAGTCGGACGCTCGGCTGACTGAGCCCTCCAGGCGGCCGAAGGTTATTTGTAAAAA